GTTTTTGCCGATAGGGCGAAAACAAAAGACGATAGCTGTTCGGAGTTTTGGACATTAGCATTTTTTCGAAAAACGAGATCATGACATGTAAGCTACTTTTTTTATATTTCTTTAATTTCTTAAATTCAATAAATAGTAATACTTTTTCTGGTCTTTCTCAATTTATTGTCTAACCGGTTTCGGCGTACGCCATCATCAGAGACATTAGAAATATAGATTGGATTTTAGCAACTTATTTTCCTTATTTTCATTAGTGCCCGTCAATCCAAGTTTTATAGTATTGTTTTATATTTTAACGTGTACACAACAACTAAATGGAAAATAAGTTGCTAAAATCCAATCTATATTTCCAATGTCTCTGATAATGGCGTAAGCCGAAATCGGTTAGACAATAAATTGAAAAAGACCAGAAAACGGATTGCTTTTTATTGAATTTATATTATATAAAAAATAACTGGTTAACATGGATCAAACTCCCTCATCTAATTCTGATACTTAATGAACACAAACCTTAATTCAATGAGATTTCTGTGCTAGGATCGTTTCGACCAATATGTTGGTCTTCATAAGACACTTCTGAAACGGATGTATAAAGTTTGTTAGTTATGATTTATGATACATTTTATAGTATTAATATTTACCATCTTAAAGTGTTACAAATGGGGAGTTGAAAAAACGCGTAACATCGTAAAACAGCAATCGAGACAGCAAATTGTTAATTCTGAATATTAAGCTGATGATCTCACGAGATGTAATCGATCGGAGCAACATGTACTAAATAACCCTCTGGGTGGCAGTATAAAGATGTAGTCATGTAAAAACAGTCAGATAGGGAATAAGAACAGACAAAAACAAAAAAGAAAGTCAATAAATTCCAAAGGTTAAAATGTTTGACATTAATGTGCATGCAGCACTTCTTTACGGTAACAAACGACAACTCTCCACATTACTGTACTAATTTTAAAGTATAGGTCAAAAAGCATCCCGAAAATTAGTTTTTTGACGTAAAACCTAACATAACCTCAATTTCACTTTACTTTAGTACCTATATACAGGTGTTTCATAAATATATTATTATTATTATTGGTATTTCATTCATAAATAAAATAATAAGAAAGAAAAAACAATTCAGATAATTAGATAATGAAACATCGTAGTGTGACATTCTTTAAAATCTTTCTTCTGCAAAGAGGAGAAAAGAACCACAAGTGAAAATAACGACTATAAAGACGATAACCACGCAGAATCAATCTCACCACACAATCAAACTTACCGCACACCAGCTACTTCAGGTATAACGCACACTCTGGTTTATTCCTTGCGACTCCAATCCCAACAAATTGCTTTTTTTGCTCAAAATATTATAAAACTTATTAATTATCTCTTTTATTAGAACAAACAAACGATTAAAATTTGAAAACAAAAACTAAAAAGTTTTTTTTCAATAATGAGTTGTACTTATTTAGACGGCGTGGCATTCTATCAATCAAGTGATTCTTGAATCCGTAGCCGGAGATCGGGTAAGTTATCTGGAATACATGTTGGGCGACAAATTAGGCGACCGAGCAGACTATGAGAGGACAGCAATGTTAGCTTCTTCCAAAAAACGTGTAGTAGCCCTTGCCGTATGAGGGCGTGCATCATCCTGTTGGAAAATGGGATTTTCCAGCCCCTGATGATATGGAAGCGCAACATGTTCTAGCACATTGGCAATATAACGAGCCATCAATGAAGACCAACTACCGTAACATATTGCACTCATGGTGTTTTGCGTTCCACAAAAAATGTTGGATTTTTATGTTCTCCACGCATCCGTCTGACCCTCCTACGACCAAGTCATTAAACACAATTCGTTGCTCCATTCTATCCTGGATAAAAATAACAGATGACATTGACATTCTGGGTCCTACATCTCTCATCCAATCATTTGCAATTGATCGAGTTGTTGAAAATCTGTCTCTTGTGGCCAACATCTCAATACCGTTGTAACGAGCGTTTTCTCTTAGCAAAAGTCATGCCGATAATATGGCCACGTTCAAAATAAGTCAATTGGAAAAATGTTGATGTTAACTCTTGGCATTGTTACCAAGTTCAGAACGAAAGTGTGAAAAATAATTTGCAAAACTGACAGATAATTACACACTGATTTGTTTATTTCTTTAAATTTATTTCTGTGCAAAGGAATAAACAAAAAAATAACCAAAATACTAGCAAATTTTAATCGTTTGTTGTTTTTATGAAAGACATCAATATTCTAGCTGTTGCAATTTTTATGGAACTTAGTATATTTAGAATAATCTGATGCTGTTAGACTCCTTTTAATTGGTATTGAAATTTAGAAGATATGTAAATGTTATTATAAGGGGCTGAAAAAATCAACCCCTATAATACTTTGCATCAGAACTTTTTAATGCGTCTACATTTTGCTATTTAAAAACTTGATTTAAATAGAGGGATTCAATACGCAACTTATTTGTCTCTTAACATTTTCTCCTAAAATTGTTAGTTTGATCACAAAAAATAAAATAATACACAGGCTCAAGTGAATTAATTCACATAGGTTATTATTAGTCAAAAAAATAGAGTTATGTCAAATTGATCTCAGCATTATTTTATTTTTTGTGATCAAACTAACAATATATTAGCTGTAAAATGTCAAGAGATAAGAAAGTTGCAGATTTTTTCCATACCTTTAGTTATATAAAAGACACTCCTTGAAATCTTTCACATCAATTTAGAAACACCCTGTATAATATAAGGCTTCTTCTATTATTATGGAAATTATTAACTCCTTGCAACCCGTTCTTTTCTGCTATCTAGCAGGTCGACTCCATTCATATAGTTATTGTATTCTTCTATGCATAAAAATCTTTCCTTAGGCCTTTTCCCATTGGCGTCATCTTGCCATCATCTGCGACTCTGTCATAATCTCCAAGTGGCTTACTTCGGTTATAAGGAGTGGCTAATCATATAATTGGTATACTTCACCGTTGGTGCCATAAACGCAGATTTAACTTGAAGCAAATTTGTAAAAGTCAGATTTTGTACATAAGACACAAGGGAAGAAGAGGAAAAGCGCACTTCAAGAAATATGTAAAATAGTCTTAGGAGGGACACAATAAAGGAGGTGTAATGTACAGGGTGGGTAAATTTGGGTGTTATTATAGGTTATCTCAGAAACTATAAGAGTTACGAAAAATCTCGAAATGAGGTTGATACGCTTTTAAGATACTTTTTTGAGAAGAATATACTGATGATTTTGGAGATCTGACATAAAGTTGTATCGCGAAAATTTTACTTTTTGGTTATAACATTAAAAACAAAAGAAGATGGAGGTATAGTCTTTGCGGGATTGGATGGCAGCTACTTTTTTCATATCTCTTATTGTTTCTGAGATAGCCTATAATAACATCAAAATTTACCCACCCTGTAGATTAATAATAAGAGAAAAAATAAATTCACTCAAAAGCTGAGATATAGGTGAGAAGTGTCTTTTAGGTACTTAAATTCTTTAGCGCATGATTTGTTCAATCACATAGAATCTCGAATAAAACTTGAAACATATTTCAGTTTTATATTAATACATATTATTTTAGTAGTGATTTATAAAAATGTTTAAATTTAAAGGAAGAACGATAAATGATTCTAAAATTAATCAAAAATGTTATCAATTAAAATATATGTGGGTTTTATCAAACAAAATTTTTTGAATATTACAAATTTTCCACCAATTGCTTAACCCTTAATATAGGTATAATACCCAAATGTGAAGTTTCATTTCGGTTTCTGTTAGCGGAATATTTTTGAAATACGTTTTTAAGACACTTTTTGAGTAGAATATACTGCCGTTGAAAAATTTTAAACTTATAATTTTGGAGATATAACATAAAGTTGTATCGCGAAAATTTGACTTTTTGGCTATAACATAAAAACAAAAGAAGATGGAGGTTTGGTCTTTGCGGGATTGGATGGCACCTACTTTTTTCATATCTCTTATAGTTTCTGAGATAGCCTACAATAACATCAAAATTTACCCACCCTGTACATTAATAATAAGAGAAAAAATAAACTGAAACATATAAACTTGAAACATATTTCAGTTTTATATTAATACATATTATTTTAGTATTATTTTATAAAAATGATAAATTAAAATATATGTGGGTTATAATCAAGCAAATTAATATAGGTATAATACCCAAATGTAAATTGAAACGCACACAACATTTCGGTTTTTGTTAGCGGAATATTTTTGAAATTTGATATAAATTGAACTCTTGTAAAAATTGGCCGATGAATAATTGTTTTTAATTACGATGTTATCAAAACTTGTAGGTAACATAACCTTACTAATAGCTCTTAGTCAGTGGTGTTACTGCATTCAACTCGGTAGTGTTTTCGTTGATTCGAAATGAATTCGGATTAAGGTAATAATTAAATATAACTAAATACTTACATTTAGACTTGTTTCTTGTTATGTGTTTCTTTTTTATGATCTTATTTACCGTGGAAAACATAGTTTGCAATGCAATTTCAATTAGTATTGTATTCGATTAATAATGGACGGTTAATTTTTTTATGTGTTAAATATGTTCTAGGTGTGCGAGCGATTAAAATGGAATTTAACACAAAACCATTGTTAGAAACAAGTAAGGGGCTGTAAAAAATCGAATTTGTTTGTGTTTGTTTCAAATTGAATGGAACATTTTGGCTATTTTACTGTTAATTTATGAAGCTTTTCATACATTAAAAAATTTTGCGTCATTTGTGGGGTATTTGCTGATAACAAGGCGTTATAAAGCGGATGCTCGATTCGTTCTTGATTCATTCTTGCAATCGATCATTCTAAGATAAATGGTCGAAGTAACCAATAACCATGCGTTTCCCATTTTTTTCATACACGTTCATTTACTGTTTGTTTGTATTGGTCAACTATTATAATAAGATTAAGTCGATTGTCATGTACGTTACGGTCAGTTTAGTATTGGATCTTGTTACAGTGCGACAACAAGACGTAGTACCTAAACAACCCAAACCGATGATGGAGCAGAAGAAGAATTCGAAACGCCATGGAGCCGGAGGAGGCGGCGAAACCCATTCGTCGAGGCATTCGATGAATTCCAATTCGGGCGTGCTGATGGTTGGACCAAATTTTCGCGTTGGTAAGAAGATCGGATGCGGTAACTTCGGCGAACTAAGGCTGGGTAAAAATCTTTACAACAATGAGCACGTAGCGATTAAAATGGAACCGATGAAGTCGAAGGCTCCGCAATTGCATTTAGAGTATCGTTTTTATAAGTTATTGGGATCTCACGAAGGAATACCGGAGGTATATTATTTCGGACCCTGCGGAAAGTTCAATGCACTTGTAATGGAATTATTAGGACCTAGTCTAGAGGATCTGTTCGACCTTTGCGACAGACGCTTCTCGCTAAAGACTGTGCTAATGATAGCGACGCAGCTACTGCATAGAATCGAGTACGTCCACGGACGGCATCTAATTTACCGCGATGTTAAGCCGGAAAATTTTTTGATCGGTCGCAGCTCGACGAATCGCGAGAAAATCATTCACATTATCGATTTTGGCCTCGCGAAAGAGTACATAGAATTAGAAACAAACAAACACATACCGTATAGAGAACACAAGAGCTTAACGGGCACCGCACGTTACATGTCGATAAATACGCATCTTGGTAAAGAACAATCACGAAGGGACGACCTCGAAGCCTTGGGACACATGTTCATGTATTTCCTAAGAGGTTCGTTGCCTTGGCAAGGCCTTAAAGCGGACACCTTAAAGGAACGTTACCAGAAAATTGGGGATACGAAACGTGCAACGCCAATCGATGTTCTATGCGACGGTCATCCGGATGAAATGGCACAGTATCTCCGCTATGTTCGTCGGCTTGATTTCTTCGAAACGCCGGATTATGAATATTTACGTAGACTGTTTACCGATCTCTTTGAACGAAGCGGTTTCGTCGATGACGGAGAATTTGACTGGACAGGAAAAACTATGGTAAGAACCAAGACGGTTACCACAAAAACTAAATATACTAAAACTAAAAGATTTTGGGAAAAACGTAAAAAGGGTTCTTGTTATTTTTCTGTAACAGCCACCAAACGCGTACTATTTTCAACAAATCAAAAAGGCGCCGCCTTCTAATAAATTTAAAACTCGGTCTGCAAAGGTAACACGATTGTATTTTGTCCCACGGCTATTCTCGTTTTCTTAGGCTAGAACTTACTATATATTACTCCTTTATTTAGTTAGGTACATTGGTTGCTTATGTATGTACTTAATTATTATTATTATTGCATTTATTGAGGTAATCTTGTAATCGTTTTGAATATCGAAACATTCAAGGTGTCTTAATTTGTTGTTTTTTTTCTCTATTAATATTAACATCTCAAATAACTAACCTAAACCCTACAAAAAAAATTAATAAATAAATAAAGTTAAAAATTATCCTATCCTATTCACAAATTAATATGCAATTACGAATAAAAATAAACTTATTTAATAACACATTTAAGGCTAAAAACCAAACTTAACACATCTTTGCCGCCAATACTATGCAAAACGAGTTTAGTTAATGTGAAATTCGCGCAAAACGATTTTATCCGATTACCGCGCAAGATGTGTTAAAAAAAATTAATAAATTAAAACAAATGTGTTATTATTAATCATTCTATGACTTATCAAAATTTCAAATTTTTTTGTAATACAAGTTATGAAATTCTTAAGAATGTTTCGTGATTAAAACTAATTACGAATCATATTATTACCGAAATAAGAATCCTACATAATTTTTAATACAAATTAATGGGAATTAACAAGAAATTTCAAAAAAATCATTTTTCAGAGTACCCCAGTAGGTTCTTTACAAACAACAGGTCACGAGGTTGTAGTATCACCAAACAGAGAGCGTCATATACCTAATAAGGTATTAAATTTTTTTTTTAATTAAGCAATGATTTAACGATTTTTATTAAAAAAATCTTTAGAATCCTCCAAAGTCGAACGCATGGCCAGAAGCATCCAAACAAAGTACATTGGGTAATTTAACACCAGCGGATAGACACGGATCGGTTCAAGTTGTTAGTTCAACGAATGGTGAATTAAACGCGGATGATCCAACTGCCGGACAAAGTAACACGCCGATAACGCAACAACAAGAAATTGAATTATTGGATGAAACAAAGTGAGTAACAGAGAGTTGTCGTAGGGGTTTAGGCGAAAATAATAGGTCTGTTTTAATAAAAAGTGTTATTAAAACAAACCTAATGCATTATTAGGGGGGGTGAAACGAATAATGATGGCGAGTTAGTTGGGATTTGGATTGTTGTTGTTGTTTCAGGTGTTGCTGCTTCTTTAAACGGAAGAAGAAAAAAGGGGTTAGAACAAAATGACTACAATACAGCGAGACGGATCAACACCTCACGCTATTACCATGCGGTCACAGTAATGCTGCTACACTCAATTGACTCTTGTTTAATTAAATGAAACAAACAAATTTTGAAACAAAAAAAGAGAAAGAAAAAAAATATGGTAAAATTAAAAAAAAATCAAGACCAACATATAGTTGTTATTATGTTATTTACTATTTAATAGCTAAATGTAGGGTTAGTTTTAATTTCAAATATAAATATTTTAAGTCGATTACCTAACTGCATTATTATATTGTAATAAGAGCCTTACTCGTATTTTCTTTTTCATTCATTTTTCGTACCCGATTATGATTAATATTTAATTTACAAAAAAAAAGGTTTAAAAAAATTCTTTTATGTAGTATATTATTTATTGTAATCCTTACCAAATACTACCTTAGATTAATTACTAATCCATTTTCTTTATTATTATTTTATTTTATTTTTTTTTTTTTCGTTCATCAATAATTTGTAAATATCTAATTAATTTAAAATTTAAAAATTGTCATTGTCTCCTATTTTATTATTTTTTCTCAATACAATTGTTTGTAATTATTCTTGTTTTCCTCAATTTTTGGTTTTTTTTATTTATGAGTAAGGTTCTGATCGCTAAAAAAATAATACAAAAAACTTACTTTTTATCTAAAAGTCGGAAAGTTCTAACATTAAAATTATAAATAAAGTTAGAACTCTTTGATCTCGAGACGGAAAGGAAATTAATTAAATACGCTGACAATGGTGTAATATACAAAAAAAAACTATACAGGCCTTCACGACGATTATGTTGTTCTTAAAACAAAGAATTAAATAAATTTAAAATTAAATTGAATTGCGTGTAGTACGACATTTCGAAAATTATTAATAAATATATATTCGACTTTATTACAGTTTTTTAAAAAAACTATTTGCTTGAAAGTTTAATGACGAATGAAAATTGTACATACAAATCCAAAAATAAATAAATAAAAGCATTGGCATATTGAATATTTTCTATCGGACGTAAAAATTGTTTATTAATTCCAAAAAAGAATTTTATCCATTATAGAATTTGAAAGTATTCGAAAGAAAGTATTAGGATCTTGTATTATAATCTACATTCAATATAACAAGCTTTCAATATTATGTGGTTAACAGATTGTGATTTTATTATTGTATGATATAATTACGAGATGCCGTTGTTCACGTGAAAAAAAAATTATAGCCTTACATAGCTTTGTTTATCACGAATTTTACCGTAGCCATTTTTCTTCTTCGTTAATTCTACTCTCTTTTTATCTTTTCTTTCCTCTTATTTTTACGTGCCCGAATGTAAAACAATACAATAAATCATAGCTGTTAACTATCCAATTTGAACAACAACTGTACCTTTTGTGAATTGTATTTCTATAAAATAGAATGCAAAAAATAATGTTTTAAACTGGTTTTATTTATATTTAATCCATTTACAAAAAAATAACAAACAAAAAATTGCTTCACCACTCAAAATATTTCATGTAACCCTCCAACCCTTGTTTTCCAAAAAAAATATAAAATTATAACATGTATGGAATGATAGCTTTTCTTGATTTCGGATAATCTTTGAATTCTTTCTTGTAATTTTTATGCTTATTTATTGCCCAAAGTGTCATTTGATACATTCCAGCCATTGCAAATATTAAAGCTAAAAAATAATAATTATTAAATCAGACTGTACAATAAAATAATTTTATTTTTACCTGGAACACAACTAGTTAAGATTGAAAACCCAAGCCAAGCCCCGTATTCATAAGTATAATTAGGGCAAGAAACCAAATTAAATAATTTTGTAAAAAAATTACTATTGGGTTTTGGTATTTTTCGCACCGTCGATCCAGCGGGTCGTAAATCTCTTAATAATAAGTGAATACTTAAATTACCCAACTCACAAAACTAATAAAACAAAAAAAATTATTAAGTATCACCCTAATTAATTCGTTTCTTACGATAAACATCCCTAACCCAAACGCCATTTGCAAAAAGGATGGTTCAGTAAATAATGGATGATTTACATGTACGGCTATATAAGCGGCAAAACCCCAATAATAAGCACAATTTTTAAATAAGCTTCTTATTGGCATTGTGGCGTGGGAAAAACGATGAACGAAAATCGATTCGTAAATTCGTTTTAAATAATGGAATGACCAACAGCAAACTGCAATTCTAAAAAAAAGATTTTTTATTTTCTAATTTTTTATATTTTGGAGAAGTTCAAGAATCATCGTAGCGGCTTAAAAATCAATCCTAGAAATATGTTAGAAATAAAAAGAAAGTGCGGAAAAGTGTAGAACATATCGAAAAATTACATTTAAGATTCGATGTGAAAAAAAATATATACCACAAATAAGAAATAGAACTAGAAAGTGCAATATTAGAACTAACACTAGACCAAGAACTAGAAACATTCGGATTTAGCCGCACGTCTCTCAAGACGGCTAAACCCGAATGATTCTAGTTTTAGGTCTTGTGTTAGTTCTAACGATAGTGCAATATTAGAACTAACACTAGACCAAGAACTAGAAACATTCGGATTTAGCCGCAAGTCTCTCAAGACGGCTAAACCCGAATGATTCTAGTTCTAGGTCTTGTGTTGGTTCTAGTAATACTGTAAAACTAGAACTAACACTAGACCTGGAACTAGAATCATTCGGGTTTAGCCATACGTCTCTAAAGACGGCTAAACCCGAATGATTCTAGTTTTAGGTCTTGTGTTAGTTCTAGTAATTATGCTAGCGTAAAACTATAACTAACACTAGACCTAGAACTAGAAACATTCGGATTTAGCCGCAAGTCTCTTAAGACGGCTAAACCCGAATGATTCTAGTTCTAGGTCTTGTGTTGGTTCTAGTGATACTGTAAAACCAGAACTAACACTAGACCTGGAACTAGAAACATTCGGGTTTAGCCGCACGTCTCTGAAGACGGCTAAACCCGAATGATTATAGTTCTAGGTCTTGTGTTAGTTCTAGTAATTATGCTAGCGTAGAACTAGAACTAACAGTAGACCTAGAACTAGAAACATTCGGATTTAGCCGCAAGTCTCTTAAGACGGCTAAACCCGAATGATTCTAGTTCTAGGTCTTGTGTTAGTTCTAGTGATAGTGCTAGTGTAAAACTAGAACTAACACTAGACCTAGAACTAGAAACATTCGGATTTAGCCGCACGTCTCTAAAGACGGCTAAACCCGAATGATTCTAGTTTTAGGTCTTGTGTTAGTTCTAGCAATTATGCTAGAGTAAAACTAGAACTAACACTAGACCTAGAACTAGAAACATTCGGATTTAGCCGCAAGTCTCTCAAGACGGCTAAACCCGAATGATTCTAGTTCTAGGTCTTGTGTTGGTTCTAGTTTTAATTTAATAAAAATATGGAACATAGTGATATATAACATCTAACCTATAAATTGTTTATTTTATAGCCACACAAGAACACCTACACTTAGTCACAAAAGTCTTCGTAAAGGTGAAAAAATTCTACAAAACAATAAAATAGCCGATTATATATATTATATTAAAATAATATAATATAAAACAGTTAATAACGTTTTATGGATAAAATAAAACATATTCTATTTAAATAAATAAATAAGTAAAAAAAAATATCGCTTTTTGATGTCATGAAAATGTTCGTACACTGATTCTTACTTCATTATGATGATTTGCCGATCGTTAATGTTCGGTTCACTTCGTTTAACTTTGGTATATCATAAACTCTGACTTGTTAAGACATGTTTAGTGTGAAAATTGCATTACATAATAGACACAGTGAAGAATTAAGAAGTTTAACTGTTAAATTCAAAAATGAAGGGAAATCGTTGAGCACAATCACAAAAGTTGTTAGTAAACCACGATCTACAATGCAACATATCATAAAAAAATTCAAAACTGTTTATAATATTATAATTATTTTATAATTTATAATAAAGTGAATATTTGAGTTGTATCTATGATTTTAACTGTTATTTAATATGGCTAGTTCAGCAAAAAAACAAAAAGTGTAAGATAGAAAGAGTATCAGAGAATTTCAAACTTGGTGGACAGAGAAATATGGCATGATTAGTATGTTCTGGAACATCGCCTGTGAAACGGCATTTTGAAACAAATCACAAAAAAGCGAACCAGAGCAAAAAGAATTAATTGCAAGTGCATTGAAAGACAGAAATAAACAGTCAACATCTATGACTAAATATGTTTGCAAAAATTGTCATACGAGCGCGGCAAGTTACGCGGCTACAAATATCATTGCTCGGCATAGTAAACCTTTTCAAGAGGGAAAGTTTTTGAAGGAAGTCTGGTTAGATAGAAGATAATTCAACGCATCAAAAATACTCTTTTATCTAGAAATACAATAAAAGAAAGAATCTTAAAACTAGCCGAAAATGTAACAGATCAACAAAAAATTGACATTAGCTCTGCTTCTTTTATGTCGCTATGTTCGTTTAGCTGTTTTTGCTCAATATTACGTTGGAAACGTCATTAAGAAAGAATTAATTGCGATCAAATTGTTGATGAACTGATGTTGCTCCAAGTATGGTGGGTAAAAAAAATGATTTCATAAGTTTATTTCAAACAGACGTAGGGCAATCGATTCTTCAATTCCACTGAACAAGCCTTGTGTGCTAAGAGTGGTTTGATAATGTAATGGCGGTAGTCACAAAAATAATCAACCTCATCTCGTCGCAGGCTTTAAACAGGCGAAAGTTCGATGCTTCGTTAGATGAAGTCAACTCGGTGTACAATGGCTTACTGATGTTCGCTGGTTTAGCCGCTTGGAAGAAATCAGACTGTTTCTGCAAAATGAGGGAAAAGTTGAAGAATACCTACACTTGCTGGATGTTATGTGGCTTTCATAATTGATATTTTTTACAGACATTTAAATGTTAAACATAAATTAATTAAAATAATTCGCGCTTTTGAGACTAAACTGCAAGTTTTCAGGGACGATATTATCACAAACTACAAGTATTTTCCAAATTTGAAAAAATATTTCAACGATTTGGAAATATATGAGAAACCAGACGAAAACCAAGTTACTGAAGAATTTATTTCTGTGATTGATTCTTCAATCAGGGAATTATTATCGGAAATACTCAAGCTTATTATGTACCCTGATGTGATGTCATTGGATAAACTGAATTTGTCCCAATTGGACAAAATTCAAAACATGGAATGCGTTACCAAACACATTTAATTGTTTGAAGAAGCTGGCTCATGCCATTTTAACAATATTTTTTTGCCTACGAGTCATTATTTTCAGAGATAAATAACATTAAAGACTCGGTTTGACAGATGACTCCAGTTCAGCATGCATTCTGCTAAAAGTAACATCTTACAACCCTAACATATGTTATTTATCATCTAATCTGCAACAACAGAAGTCACACTAATTTTACATTAATTTAAATTACGCGTATAATTGCAAAATGTTCCTATTTTTTTGTAGTAAATAAAGAGTTTTGACTTGATAGTATTTATTGATTGTATTATTTATTCCCAACAATTAGAAAGTCGAAATTTTTTATGGCACGTCTATGACTATATTAAACATTTCTTTAGAAAAATCTAGAACAATGAAAAATTTTAAAATCAAAAAATGAAGAGCTAACTTCCCACATTCTGTACGAACACTTTCGTGTGATCAGAAAAAGTAATTTATCTTTGTTATCTTTCCTAATTCTTACTAGAAGCATATATTTTAATTTTAAATCATTATTAATCGCTGAAAATATGTAAAATGTTTCATAACATTCATAAATACGAATTTCTGGGCTGTATGAAGACTTTTGTGACAAAGTGTAATGGCCCCTCTTCACTATTGCTCAAGATGGACACAGTGGTATAGTCTAGATGGCCCACCTAATGGACCACTATAAGCAAAAGGTGCTGTTGACAACCGAAATGGTTAAGTTGTGTGGACATGCCACTGCGCAGTTAGCTGCGCATGATGGCGCCCTTTAATGCGTGGTGTCCCAAAACCATCCTTTACCATTACCATTATCCACCATTTTACACCATACCATTGCTCTATTATAATTTCAATTACAATTTTGTTATTTTTAAGTTCTTGTTACTATTAATTATATATTATTATTATTATTCATGGCCACTTCAGACCATCTACACAATGGCGATGGCTTGCAGTGGTCCATAATAAGCCATAGTGAAGAGGGGCTATAAAAAACACCCGAAAATATGCGTTTTAACCAAATGTGCTGCAAAAATATATAGTTAGCATGGTCGATGACGTCACAAAAAGTGACGTCACGTCGAAACTTAAAAGTGATTTTTCGATTTTTAAGCCACATGATGATTCTTAATATATTTTTTTAACTTACTTAGCCCCTAAAGAATATGGAGCGTTGGAATTGGCGTAAATAAACGCCGGACGTAACGCAAAAAGAATATATACAATAAGTGGGCCGAAATATTCAGCCACAAAAACCGTTCGCCATCCAATTTGAAGCCCCAAGTCTTTAACATAAAGTGTTGACCCATTCGATAATCCCAAACCAGATAGTGATGTGTTATCTTTTAAGTCTTTGCCTTTTAATTCGCTGCGAATTGATTGGCGATGAATTGATAACTTCTTTATGGCACGTGATATTGCTTTTTTTACGTCTCCAACAGTATCTGATGACTGCATTGAGACTTTGCAAAGCGATTTATTACTTGTAGAGAAAATGTTTAGCTAAAAAAAAAATATTTTAGGCTATTAAAAATGGGATTTTGTAGATTTTAACTTACCTCCATGCTGACGGTGCAAATTAGAAACTTGAAATGATTTCAATTCAGCCGTTAATTATTCAATAATTTTAAAGGTAATTTGATCGCTCTTTGACCACCTAGTGACGTATGCAACTTCAAATGACACTAACAATGTAAACAAATATAAAAAATAAGATGTATTTTTTAAAGCTAATTAGAAAATTTTTAAAAAAATTCGTCTAAATTATTGCCCCATTTATTTGTATTATTATACTTATTTATTTAATATTCTAGAATATTTTTTAGTTACAAAACTTTTGATTGTTGGTACCCATTGAGGTCTTATATACAGCATGGTCCATTTAACGTGAAACAAGCGATTATCTCGAAAATTTATTTTACATAAAAATGAACCAAATGAAAGTTGTTCTATGCGAAGGGGGAAATCATATTACAATAACATTTTTTGACCTTGATCTTATTTTCAAGGTCACGACCAATTTTTTAAATGGCACCCTACGTTTTTGATTGCAAAATCTGAATCTATGAATAAAAGTAAAAGAATTAAAAAAAATTACATCATAAAACATATTTATCTTATAAGAACAAGTATAAAATTTATAATAAATGTTCAAATATTTCCCCACCCACTTCAATACATTTATTAACCCTTCTACTAAAACTTTTTTTACATCTTAACCTTTAAACACTGAGCGAAAATCCGTTGAAAATGGTTTTTTTGTCGTTGCCCTCAATGTTGCTGTGACCTGGAACCCACCATAGGGTAACATCATTGCCCCTAGCGAGTTCTCTCAGGTTGTTGGTGCACTCTCTGTAGGCCGTGTAGGCCTGAATTGCCTTTAAGGCGGCCCGACTGTCTGTGAAAATGTTTATGGATGCACCTTTTTATCCCTTCTGTAGGTTCAAAGCGGTGCAGAAGTTTATAGCAAGAACTTCTGCTTGGAAAATTGTTAAGTCCGAGCTGAGGGGCAATTTGATGTGGCTATTTGGTCCACTGATGCCCATGCCTACTCCAGATCTTACTGTCTTTAGTCTTCCCTCCTTAGCCTCTATTAAGTCTGCTTTTAGCTGTTGTCCGGCGCATATCCATTTTCTCAAAATTGTCACATAGTTGTATATGTGTTACATTTTTTCAGAAATCGAAAAGTGATGTTATCGTTGAGGAACTGAGAGGTTCTAAGCGTCAAAAGACTTGTACACAAACTAGACCATTGACCATAGACAGAATTATACGAGGAAAAATTGAACATGCTTGGTCCACTACTCCACCAACAATGACTATTCGTACTATAGCCCGTAACATAGTTTTGAGACGATGCAGCACAAAAGGTGCAGCAAAACTTTGGAAGCATTTCAATTATTTTTCAGTGATGATTCGATTACAAAAATCGTCCAGCACACAAATTCAGAAATAGTACGTAGGCAAGTTATGTATTCAAATATTACAGCTAAAATCGCGCTAACTACTTTGTTAGAAATAAAGGCTTTACTTGGTTTATTAGTATTTCTGCTCCTCACAACGACAACCATGTTGCCAGCACCGAATTACACTGTTGGAAATAATTCACGAGCACATCCTGTATAATCCGAACGCGTGTGTCTAGCGTAATGAAATTCCAACTCAGATACTTAGGAGGGACAAAGAAAAATGTCGTCTGCCTTCTATCAACAATGCATGAGGGTGCTACGATTGTGGAAAACGAGAATTGATTGAGCATTCTAACGCAACTAAAGGCGGCGTTGATGCTTTTGATAAAATGTGCTCAACCTCAAGCGGTTCTTACATACAGAAGCATATCCTGCATTATTAATAATCTAAAACTATAATAAAAAAAACTTATACTAAACGTTATTCCCATGTCGATGAATCTCTATCGCCTCTCTCGTCAATCTTTGGAAGTAATGTCCGTTTCTTGCTAGCACGTTGGTTTTGTCGAACTCTATACTGTGTCAGATTGTTGGATCTTCCTTAGTCGGACGTCCCTCTCGTGTTCCTTGATGCGGCACTCGATGTTACATCCAGTTTGGCCAACGTAATATTAGATAGACTCCTGCTCCCCGTAATGGGGTTAGTTTGATGAAGCTTTCGATATACTCCCAGTTCCATGTCCCCATCTGACTTTCTAGTAACTAACATATCCAGGAATGGCAACTGTTTTGCAGTTTCTGTTTCCATGGTAAATTTTATCGTGGGGTGCTGTGAATTGAGGTGGTCTAGAAATTCCTGGAGTTGCTCTTTTCCATGTTTCCAGATCACAAAACATTTCAAACATCTCCATGTAAGAATTGGCTATCACAGGACGACGATAGGTAGTATCCACGCATCTTTGACTGGTACTCTGCTGAATAGAGATTCCACGTCGAAACTTACCAGCATATCCTGAGGGTCTAGCTTCATACTCCTAATTGATTCTACAAAATGTGTGAAGAATCTGACATATGACTCTGTCTTACCTGTAAAAGAAGACAGAATCTTTTCTTAAATCTTGGAAAACAGAAGTAAAAAAACTAAAAAAAAAACAGAAGTTTTCTTAAATCTTGGATTTTCGTCCGCCCAACTATGTAAATTTCTCAAATTGATGATTCCATCTTTAGAAAAAGTGGATTCATCTGTAAAAAG